AGGGCTCCTTGGTTCCCACGGGCTGCATCTGCAAAGCCGGATTTGTGCCTTGGATGAATATTCGGGGCAGATCGCACAGAGCTGCGTCGATGGTGGATGTGCGGATGTGTCCCAGAACATGCGGCAACCGAAACGAGCCTGCTAGAGTATAGGGCCTGGCATGTGTCATGAGGACGGCACCATTGCAGCTGCCAGCAAAGCGCCCTTCTACAGCGGCTCCTGTCTCTCGCTGTACCAAGAAAGGGGGGGCTGTGGGAGCTTTGTGCGCCGTCGGATTCCGGATCAGTAGGGTGGCACTGAAATGGATCAAGCACGGAGGAGTTCCTCAAGCTGAGTCCAATGCAGCTCTCCTTCTTCCTAGGCTAGTTATAGTCATGGCAATCCTTGTGATCTCACCACGCCAGCATGTGCTTTGCTTCTTGCCGAGGTCAAGGTGTTCAGTGCCCGGAGTTTTCGAAAGGAGACAATGTCGCAGCAGGATGTGCTTGCATTGCTGGCTACAGTGGCCGTATTATGGCCTTGAAAGCTGCGCCTTTCTTCGAGGGTTCTTGCACTGCCGAAGGCTGCCCGGAGAACGCAGAGGGCGATGACCTTGCCAGCGGCTGCTCTTGCAAGGCAGGCTACAAGGGATCCGTGCAGGCCATTCAGGAGGCTCCATTCTACAATGGGAGTTGCGTGCCAGTCGCCTGCCCTGCAAACTCCACGGGCGTGGACGTGCCCACGGGATGTTCCTGCCTCCCTGGCTTCGAGGGATCCGTGCAGCCTAGCGCAAAGGCACCGTTCTATGTGAGCACATGCAAACTTGTGCCATGCCCACAGAACAGCAAGACCACAAACACCCACGCATTTGGCTGCAAGTGCCTGGCTGGTTACAGTGGAGAGATCTCCCCCACAAGCCTGGCCCCCTTCTACAGCGGAGAGTGCAAGGAAGTGGCTTGCCCTACCCACTCCTCGGGTGCCAGCGTCAGCGCTGGCTGCACCTGCGCCGCTGGCTTCAGGGGCAAAGTGGGGGCCTCGCAGCAAAGCCCCTTTTACGTGAGCACCTGCGAGACGCTGGGATGCCCGGAAGGGTCGGAGGGACGCTCTCTGAGTTCCGGTTGCCTTTGCCCTCCTGGGGAGAGTGGCACCGTGGAGGCAACAACCGAGGAGCCCTACTACAAGAGCACCTGCAAGGCTGTTTCTTGCCCAGAACACTCCGAAGGTGGTGATGTTGTCAAAGGATGCTCTTGCAAAGCCGGCTTTGCCGGCTCTGTGGTGGCTTCCTCAACGGAGCCTTTCTATCAGAGCAATTGCCTGGCGGTGCAGTGCCCCGCCAACTCAGAGGGCAAGGATGTGCCCACCGGTTGCATCTGCAAAGCCGGCTACAAGGGCGAGATCGTAGCAATCTCAGAGGCTCCATACTACAGAGGTGCGTGTGTACCTGCACCTTGTCCAGACAACACCATCGGATCCAACGTTCCTAGCGGATGCGGCTGCGCGGCAGGCTTCAGCGGCTCCATCACAGCAACGTCCAAATCACCACATTACACTGGCAACTGCACTGCGCAACCCTGCCCTGCCAAGTCAAGTGGAAAGGATGTGCCTGGTGGCTGCAAGTGCTCTCCTGGTCACGATGGTGCGATCACAGCTTCCTTGAAGGCACCCTACTTTACGGGATCATGCTGGCCTGTAGCATGCCCAGCAAACTCTGACGGCACCGATGTGCCTGCAAAGTGCACCTGCAAGCCTGGGTTCGCAGGCAAGATTGAGGCAGCTTCACAGGAGCCATACTACAGCGGGAAGTGCGAAAAGGTCTCTTGTCCACCACACTCCACAGGCAACAGCGTCAGCGAAGGTTGCGCCTGCGACGCGGGCTACAACGGCACCATCCTGGCGACCTCCGTTGCTCCCTTCTTCTCAGGCAGCTGCAAGCCGGTGGCCTGTCCCGCAGATTCGACAGGAGGAGACGTGCCGAGCGGCTGCACATGCAAGGCTGGCTACAGCGGTAGCATCGAAGCTTCCAGAGACTCGCCGTTCTTTGACGGTGCCTGTGTGGCTGTGGAGTGCCCAGACAATTCTGAAGGGCGTTCGGTATCTGAAGGCTGCGTGTGCAAGGCGGGCTTCAGTGGAAAGATCACCAAGTCCTCAGAGGCTCCTTTCTTTGAGGGAAGCTGTGTGCCTGTCAATTGCCCGGCCAACTCGGCAGGAATAGATGTGACATCTGGTTGCACCTGCAACGAAGGCTACAGTGGAGCCGTGCAGGCAATGAGCACAGCACCGTTTTACAAAAGCACCTGCGAGCCAGTGGCATGCCCGGCCAACTCCTTGGGCAAGAATGTCCCTGAGGGCTGCTCCTGCAAGCCAGGTTTTGCCGGCAGCGTGTTGCCGAGCGCGCAGGCCCCGTTCTACCTGAGCAGCTGCGAGCCAGTTGCATGCCCGAAGGATTCCACCGGCCAGAGTATACCAGAGGGTTGCGCATGCAACGCCGGCTTTTCGGGCAAAATTGCTGCCAAATCCGATGCGCCATATTTCGAGGGCACCTGCCAGCCGGTCAATTGCCCGGCAAACTCCAAGGGTGTGGATCTTCCAACTGGTTGCAAATGCGAGGATGGCTACAAGGGCAAGATTGTAGCTTCCAGCAAGGGCCCCTTCTTCTACACGGGCTCCTGCACAGCGGTTTCGTGCCCAGCTAATTCTAAGGGCAACAGCGTTCCTGAAGGATGCACATGCGAGGAGGGATTCAGTGGCACGGTGACTGCTATGCCATCTACGCCTTTCTTCCTGAACGACTGCGCTCCAGTGTCCTGTCCAACGAACTCCTTTGGCAAGAATGTAGCCAGTGGCTGCACATGCAATGCGGGCTTCACAGGCAGTGTGGCCGCCACCAGTGATGCTCCGTTCTACACAAACTTGTGCAAGGAGGTGCCCTGCCCTGCCGACTCGATGGGCGAAGGGATCGCCAGTGGCTGCAAATGCCATCCTGGCTTCAGTGGCGCCATCAAGGCTGGCATTCCGTTTGTTCTCATATCTGAGCTACCGCTCAACATGGCACATATGGCTCATCATGTCACATGCAAGCGACGAAGGGTTCTCCCTGATCACACATGTTGCATGACCCGTCGGAACTCGTTGCTGATACTTCTTTGGGAAGTCGATGAAGCGGGCAATTGCAAGCACAGTGAACATCTCTTTGGCCTTGTGTTGTTTGCTCAACCTGTAAAAGGCAGGTAAGCCAGGCAAGCCATCAAGGGAGTGAAGAAGGCAAACCCTGAATCGTGAAAGAGCACTTTTTTCTGTTGAGCTGAATCGTAATTGAGTTCGCCAGTGCGCGGTGGTAAGTGGCAGAACAACGGAGTCCGCCCGCTCGGCAGGTAGTTAGATAAGGAGTTGGGAGTGGCAAACCTCATCCCACATACCTGGCGGGTGGCAGAAAATGGCAGGCGTGTGCTGCTGCTAGGCAAGGTGCAAGAAAACAGGGCTGAGAAAAAGGCAGTGCTGATTCACAAACTGCGGCATCGTCGTGCACCGGGCGGGCCCGACCTACCGGGATGTATCGTGGCCCACCTCACACAGAGATTGTAGGTGACTGGTATCGCACACCCTCGCATGGCGCGCCACCCATTCTGTCCCAGGCCAGCACAGCCGAGCCGTTCTACACCGGGAGCTGTGTGGCCGAGGCCTGCCCCGAGAATTCCGATGGCCTGGACTTGAGCAGCGGCTGCAAGTGCAACCCGGGCTACAGCGGCACCATCACCGCCACCCAGGCAGGGAAAGTAGACTGCGCATCCGATGCGCAGCAAGGGTCTTGCCGCCATCAGCTGCTGGAACCCTAAACCCTAAGGCCCTAAACCCTAAACCCTAAACCCTAAACAACCCTTAAACCCTGAGCCCATTTCAGGTGGCCCCCTACTTCTGCGGCAGCTGCGAGCCGGTTCCTTGCCCGGATCTCTCCACTGGACCAGACGTGCCGACGGGCTGCCAATGCAACTTTGTCCGAGTGGGGGTAACATTTTGCCATTTCAAAGGGTATCTTTAGGGGTTTAGGGGGTTTTAGGGTTTATAGTTAATAGGGTTTGGGGTTTATGGTTTAGGGTTTCCTCAAGCCCAGTCGCAAAAGGGTTTGGGGTTTAGGGTTTCGGGTACTTTAGCTCAATAAGGAATAGAAATTTAAATTATTTTAATGCTATCCCAGCCATGATCTAGGCAAGGATGGATCAGGCACCGTCACTCCCTCCAGCGAGGCACCCTTCTATGCCTGGAGCCCAGGTATGTCATTTGCTTAGTGTATCACTACATTCTTGTGTTACTCCGTTATGATCATTGTTATTCTTATTATTATTAAAAATATTAGTAGTATAATTATTACGATTACTATTAGCATTATGATTATTGGTATTATTGCAGTAGTATTTTTGTTGTAATAGTAAACTAGCATTATCTAGACTCACATGATCATGGTACATGAGCCCCAAGTCCGATGGCTTTGTCTCTTTCCGCTGCTGACAGCTGGGCACCGATGTCAGGTCAGCACGTGCGGTGCCACGTCGTGAGTCATGCTGCACATTCAGGAGAGGATGTGTCTTACCTAAATATGGAAGTTGGACTTACACTCACAGTTGGGAGGCAAGCTTTGGTAAAGCCGTAGCGGCCCAAACAGGCTACTGCATTCATCTAACCCTACCGACCCGCGATGGAGCTTCCGACTCCTTAGAAGAGTTGCCATGCGCCGAGCACCACAAGATGTGGCAAGGCTTGGGCGCGTGGACAGAAGTGTTGTCCATGAGGACGTGCTTTGCACGTCATGCTGCAGAGATGCGAAAAAGATGCCTCTGCCTCTATTGGACCGGTGAACTTGTGCCCGATGTGTGGTGAGCTGTTGCAACGTGACCTTGCCGAGAGATGCTACTACTAGGAACGGTGCCTCACAGTGAGAGGTCCTTCACACGGGGACCCCACTCATGAAGCAACCCTAAACCCTAAACCCTAAACCCAATAGGGCAAAGTCTACTGGCTGCTTGCAGGTGACCTGAGACCTGGGCTCCCATGGGCTGCTGCACTGCTGGAAAAAGGAGGGCAAGTGAAGTCAATGATTCAGGTGTAGGTTCTTAGGTTCTTAGGTTCTTAGGTGTATTGCAGCAAGCAAAAAGAGCTCTGAACGTTGCGACTCCGGCGGGGGTTGGTTGGTGTTTGTCGGAGTTTGTTAGCTGGAGAGGATGTGGTTGTCGAGGAGGGGAGGCAGGTTCGAAAGCAAAGGTGCGGACTTTGACGTGAAATGTCATCACTCAAACCAGAAATACCGGGACGATTGCTCATCGTCATTGTGAGGTATTTCTTGCCCGCGGTCATGAGGAGTCGGCCTTAAAGCAATTCCCTTTACATCAGGCATTGCGCAACTTATCCATAGCCGTCCGCTCGCCGCTGTAGCCATGCTGGCTCTGATATCGTACAAGCAGATACGTCCATATTTGGGACATCACAAATCCCTAAGGGTCCAAGAACCCATATAGTACATACTTGGACCTTAAAGGGGTTCCCATATAGTAGCTTTTGGGCCCAAGTATATACTATATAGGTACATGGACCCTTTGGGAATGTCAGCCATTCAGCGCTTCCATCCTTTGACGCGGCGGGAGCTAAGTTTGAGTCTGTGTTGTCCACGCAGGGTCCCTAACCAAGATCCCTTCAACTCGCAGGGTCCCTAACCAAGATCCCTTCAACTCCGACGGCCGAGATGTGAGTAGAAAAGCCAGTAATATGTTGATGCACAAGTCCACCTCCTACTCAGCCTGCAGCTTCAGACGGTTTCAATTTCTAGGAATATGCGCAGAAAATCCATCCTGGAGCCATTCGCTCGCTAGTTTTCAAGTGTGCTCAGCTCAGCTGCAGTCAGCACCCATTGGCTATTTCGATGATGCTGGTGTCGGGAGAGTGCTCCTGCGCGCGAATGTCCAGGATGTGATCCACACACTCCAGATTTGCTGAACGAGGCCCGTGCCGAGATGCACGGCAGATTAATATAGAGCTAGCTGGCTCCAGCAGCGAAGCCACATGATGTCATCGCCTGACGCGTTTGCACTACTCTCTTGCCTCTCTTGTCTTGGAAGTACGTAGTAGTGCAATCTAGTTTGCATTAAAGTGTCAGCTTTCGAAGCATCGCGCCGTGGACACAATATCCCGTCACTGCCCAAAAAGGCCATGGGTATGTACGATGATGGTATCCTGGGTGCCGAGCTCAGACGCGACGTGAGAACTTCTTTTTTGACAGCATTCAGCAGCTGGAGAACCTTCCGGAATCCTTCTTGTCAGCACCCTGCTAGTCTAGGCGGGGCGAAACTACAGCTTTATCACTTTATAAGTTTTGGGGTTCCTCTAATTTCACATCAAGGGTGCCAAAAGTTGAGCTTTCATTGTGGGGGTTAAAGATCAATCAAGCAATTAGTTGTGTATTGCTTTGGGGCGACTCCGGGGCTTCCCCCACCCCTTGCGACTACGATGCAGCAGAGTGATCGCGACATGCTTAACAGGTGGGCGGAAGTATGTTCCGCCGAAGATGTCCGACGTGATTCGTGGGGATCCTCAGCCCCTGCTGTGGGTGGCCCATCCATGAATCAGAAGATGACCCCGCGAAAGAGTGCCCCACCAAGTCAGATTGCAAAAAGCAGCAGAACGGCAGGGGCCATGAGATGGGGTCCTCTGTCACAGCGACAGTGAGGGTCTGTCCCTCATAGTTCAAGACCCTTGCTCCATGTTAGGGATGGTAAAGTTATCGTGCAGTGGGCCAGGTGGTGACTGGCAAGAAGCTCGAGGTGACAGGCCTTGGAGTTCTTGGTTTCCCCTTTTTTCAACACGCGGGAACTGTAGAGCTGTGAGCAGCCTGGGGAGGGTTTAGGGTTTAGGGTTTCCGGCAGAGCATCCGTAGCAGGATCTTCCGAATCCAGGAGGCGGATGGCCGTGGCGGCCTCGTGAGCCGTCCGTCATGATTGCACTTCCATAAAAGCTCATGCTGAGTCGTTCAGAGTCTAACCGCGGGCATGTAGGAGTAATGTAGCATTCCCGTTATAGCCGAAGAAGTTCTGGCAAATAGCGCTGAAGCGCTAGGAGGGGAGTTCTATGCCTTTTGCTTCAGCGACAGGTTTAGAGCTGGAGCATCAGCCGCCCAGTGGACCTGCCCTGGCTTGGCCCACAGTTTCGGGTTTGCACGGCTCAGTGCAGGGATGTCGAGACAGAGGGGGGAGAGAGAGTGGGTGCGCGCGTGGGGGCGGGTGTGCGCGCGCACTTTCCTTGCTACAGCAGGGATGAAGTCCTTCGCATTGCTGTAGTTGTAAACGGGTGGCAGACTGGGGTCCGGGAGGAGATTATAAGTGGTGGGTACGTGAGACGGGAAGCTCTTTCCTGGTGTGCTCTGTTGCCACTTGACAGTTGGTTTAGTTACATGAGGCATGCCGCAAGTGTGGCTCATGCCTTCCTCAGGTGCTTTCACGCAATGACTCGACGGCTGCCGTGCTTATCTCATGGACGGCCTACGCTGCAGCCCTAAGCCAACGCTCCACGGACTCTGAGAGTGGTCTCGCATGCTGCAGCTATAGGTGCGAATGATCGTATGAATGATCAATGATCATCAATGGCGCATGCCTGAGGAGCACGGGCGAAGTCCGGGTTCGGGTGAAGAGGCTTTCGACCTTGAACTAGAAGGCCAGGCATTCGTTTCTTGGAATCTGCATGTTGTGGGCGGCTGTTAGTGCGTGCGACGAGCAAGGCTTCCTTACATACCCTTAGCTACCATCTTATCCCGTGGGTAGCATTCTGCACAGTCTGCCGATGTCTTCTCAAGGCTTGCAGCATGGTGTGAACTTGCGATTTTGTTCTCGCAGCTGGGTACCTCAAGTCTGACTGCCTGCGACGCGCAGGCGAGAATCGTGTAATTCTCAGACGGGCAAGAGACGGCGGCCCCCTCAGCTCGCCTATGATGTCTCTCCGCAGGTAGACCTTGCTGCTTGGAAATCAATGCGGCATATCTTTGGCATTCCAGGATTCCAGTTTGATTATAGAGCTGTGCTGCTCTGAGGCGAGGCTGTGCGCTTCGTGCGCCTCAAGGCACACTCCGTTTTGCACTCCTAGGTGCACAGCACACAAGGAATTTGAGTTGTGATCGCTTCTTTGTGCATCGTGTGCAGCGGGCACCGAGTTTCAGCAGTTCGTTCCCTGCAACGCCAGCGACAGGATGGGCAACGATTAGTAACGCCTTCGCCGTCTGTGCGGGCCTCAGAACTTGACAATCAGAGACTTCGGGGGTTACGTTTAGGAGTTTAATGGAGTTTAGATGGTGCCAAGAAGATCCGGTGGGGCACTCGGGGTGCCATTCCTCGTTCAGGTGTAAGGTGCAACATCCCATCCCTGGCACACATCTTGAGGGGCCCCATGCATGTTCTTCGGAACAAAAAAACTCCTTGCTGCAGGCAAGGCGGCCACGGCTTGCGCCCGAGAAAGCATCTGCTTGAGCCACATGAGCGACTACTTTTATTACGTTGCAGGAGGTCTCTTGTGGCGGAGATAAAAACCCCATGTCGTGCCTGAAACCTCGGAAAGCGATGGGCCCCCCCCCAAAAGCGATACCCTGAATCTTGAATACAAAAGTCGTTCTGCAACCATGTCATGATTTCGGGTGTTGGGTGCTATTCCAGAGCGATACTGAAAGCGATAACCCTACGATACCCATTTGGTCACCTGAAGAGCTGGGCAAAGGCCCTGGCCCAGGTTGAGGGTTCGAGGTTTAGGATATGGATTTCTGATTCGAGCAGCGAGAGCTCCAGCTCCTGGAAAAGGAGCACTCGCACTCTTTGATTTATAGGTCCTAAAGAAAGGAAACGGGTTTAAGAATTCAGGAGTTTTCACGGTAGGGTTGCAGGTTTCGGGTCTCATATGCAGTAAAGCGATAGGTTTTCGTAGCAGCATTGAGCTAAAGTCCCATAAAGCGATAGGGCCCCCCCCAAAAGCGATACCCCATGATTTTTTAATTAGCATTTACATAAGATTTTTTGCGGGTGCTCACATGTGACATGACCTGTCTCATTGCGCCGGCTTCCTTAGCTTGCCATCGCCCCTGAAATTTGCAATGGCAGCCGTTTCGTGAACGCTGCGTGGAGATCTGATTGGCTGTGCTCGGTTCTCGCATGCGAAATGTCACCGAAGCTCTTGCACCTGAGGGCTCGACAGCGAGCACGGTCCTCTTCAGTTTCAGATTCTCAGAGAGGCCCCGAGATGGGAAGGAGGGCTAGGCTACTGAACGCGCAGAAGCGCTGTAAATATGGCCCTCTGACGTCCTATGCATCTCTACACTTCCCTTGGGCAGGTGCTAGCTGCGAAGAGGATCATCGGCACTTAGTTCAAAAGGCCTGCGCGTCCGACATGTTCCAGTATGATGCCTGGTTGAGGACGCCCCCTGCAGGTCAAGTCTCTTCAAAGCAGTGCTAGAGAGTTGAACGAAAAGTGGCAGAGCTACTGCGCGCCGCACTTGGCTGCTCTGGCATTCCCATCTGGCATAGCTTGTGCTGCTGAGTGCTCTTCTGCTCGGCGTGCTTATGCCAAAGCTTGACAGCATTGGAACCATGCAACTAAACAACCTGATGTTTGATCCAAGGAGCAGTATGGCTCGTGTCTCAGGGTTTTTTTCGTGGCTGTGCCTTGTGCGCTCCCCTAGGCAGCGAGGACACTCACATTGCCAGCACCCGCAGTGCTGGCTAATCACAACCTTCGTTCATCAAGATCTGCGTCACCTGTCTTTCCTAGCAGAAAATCAACAATCCAAATGCAAGTGCGGTCGCAGCTAGCATGTCCACCCGTGCAAATGGGCATTGGGCTGCTTCTGGCTCTCTATGCTGTGGGACCAAGTTGGCATTAGGCCATGCGTTCCAGAAGATGTTGCAAGCGTGCAGCTTAATTACACATGCCTTTCCAACGATGCAAAAGCTTCATGACCTATACTCAGGCATCGATTCTGCTTACCCTGCGAGTGCTTCGCCTGACATTTCGCCATGGCTAAAATGATCCAGCGCGCTTGGATTGTTCTCAGCCTCCTCGCGTCTTCGGCCGACGCCTGCACCGTCGTAGCTGTCGGGCGTCATGCCAGCGCATCCGGCGCGCCGATGATAGGCACTTTCGAAGAAGGGACTCAAAACACATGATACTGCTGTTCGCGATGACATCATAGAGTCGTATAGAGTAGCATATCGCAGGAGCATGAGCTTTGATTCCCGTATCGGACCTGGCTCTGTAAAAGCGTGGAGCTAAGTCCAGGCCACTCAGATGATGCGGGCAGCTCAACCAACGACATCCGTCTGATTCGTGTGCCGCGCCGCCAATGGCCAGAGGGCAGCAAACGACCTGTTTACCTTTGGCAGGAACCTTGGCTGCAAGCCAAATTCCGAGTCACACTTCTTGGGCAGTGGGACCTTTGGGATGCAGCGGCAGAGAGAGAGAGAGAGACTTCTTGTTGCTCATGTAGAGACGGTGCAACTGAATGCCTTCTGTTGCCTCGCAAATCGGCGCGCAATCAGCTGCTGAATTTGAGTCGATGACGAGTCTAGAAGTCACAGAGGGACCAACCCGCACTGCTAGAGAATGGGAGCTTGTCACTGCAGAAGATTCAGAAGATGAATGTTCTGAGATTGGTTACCCACGCTTGGTCAGCGCCGTGCCCCGACTGCACGACAACTCAAGGGCTGCTGAGGGCACAGCTTTGTTGTTCATGGGCATGCGGGTATGTCTGTATCCGTGCAAAACTCCCTCAACCCTAAAGTTTAGGGTTTAGGGTTTAGGGTTTCGGGCCTAAGCCTTACATGCTAAGCTCTTGCCAAGCAGGAGCGCTCCCCGGAGTACGCGGCCGTTGGGGATCAGACGGAGACCTCCACCCCAGCAATCAGTTTTGGAAGATATGCGGTATATATGGGGGATTGTATAGGGGAATCGGTTTAGGGTTTAGGGTTTAGGGTTTAGGGTTTAGGGTTAGGGTTTAGGGTTTAGGGTTTAGGGTTTAGGGATGAATGGGTGGTTGTCAAAATCATGATCCCTTTTGGGGTACCCTAAATATTAGGTGCCGTATTATAATAGGGGCCCAAAAAGGGGCCAGAATTTTGACAACCACCCATATGGGGGTTGTTTAGGGGAATCAGATGAAGGGTCCCTTCCAGGGGTCCCCTCCTTATACCCCTTGATACGGGATGCTGGCAGGACACTCATCCTTTGGGCTTCGTTCCCCAGGTGTTGGCGCCTTGACAGCACAAGACAACAACGCATCTCCAGCTCGCACTGGCTTGAGTTGAGCAGCTGTCGCAGAAAGGGCAGGTGTTATTGTTCTTATTAGTGGCATGATTACTCTTACAGTATTATTACTACGTTATTATATTAGTGTTATTAGCAGTATGATTATGAAGATTATTTTATTCGTATTGTTGTTAAGTCGCATTGTTGCAGGATGTGGATCGTCGCAGTGTCAGGGTTCGGGCTCTGGCGTCAACCTCCCTGAGCGTGTGGCTCTAAACTGGTTCTAGAGCAGGCGAACAGTCCCGGTTATGGGGTTTAGGGTTTAGGGTTTAATTAGGGCGTTTAGGGTTTTTGATCCCAACATATTTGCCCTTGCTGCGCGCAGCTGTTACTGGCCACCAAGGAAACCTGGGCCTACTGGGACACTGACTATGGCGTGCAGAATGAGTGGGGCCTTTCCATTGGGGAATCTTGGAATCAGCACCAGGTTATATCTTTGCATGCTATATCTTGAAGAATGAAGGGCTGAAGCTGAAACGAAATATTCGTGGTGACCTGTTGTTTTTTCCCAAATCACGACGAGGTTAAAATTTGGCTCAGGATTCAGGGTTTCACCGGTGGGTTGTTGCACGTGCTTGGGCTTTCCGGGAGATTCCCGGGGTTTCTTGAGGTTTGAGGTGTCAAAGGGGGCTTCAGGGATTATGAGGGATGGTGCACTGTTGGTGCGGTGCGGGGATGCCAGACCATCCACGGAATGAGCATCCAGGCAAGGAATGGCGGAGCAGTTTGACCAGGCTTTGTTCTGAAGCGATCCGTCCATACTCCGACCGAGATGGGGCTCACACTGTCACCAGTGGCAACCTCACTCCATGCTCGCAGGCAGAAGTCTTCTAAGTAAGAGCTAGACATGGGTCGGGCGTGTCGTAACCCCAAAGTGACGAAGTACTGTACGAGGCTCACCACAGTCGGGCTCTCTTACCAAGCGTTGTTCCGGGGCAGCGCGCTCTCCGGGCTACGCTTGGAAGGAAGAAGTGTTTTTTTCAGATTCAGAAGGAGACCCCCTGCTCGTCTCCAGGGCTTAGTCCTTGTCTCTTGCTCAGGAAAGCACAAGCTCTGCGCGCACTGCGGGCTGGCCGATCAGCAAGCCACAAGGCCATCTGCACTAAACTTTCGGCAGCTGGAACTTGTATTTGAGGGTTGGAGACACTGTCATGAGAGATCTGAGACGGCGTCGGCTGTTGTAGGCTGTAATGAGCAACTCGCCGCGTGAGTTCTGTGTACGCGAAGCGGGGTTCATTGAAATGATCACAACACCAAACGCAGAGAGGTGCGGGGTTCCAGGCAGCTGAGATTTCCAATTGTGCTTGACTTCGGGTTCAGCAATCCCCTGCTGCCACAAGAATTGCCTGCTTGCCCGTCAAATTGCAGAATGCAGCCACGCGTTCGCAGTCACTGTGGTTCTCGCAAGTCCGTCTCGCAGGCAACTGCCTCTTTGGCATCGAGGCGCTTCCAGATGGTTCTTCTAGACTCCAGAACTTCGAGCAACTTAGAGATAAAGGTCCTTTTGCGGACTTCTGCCGTGCACACCTGGGCTGCCACATACTGTAGAAGACCGTGTACAATGCAAAATCATGCAAAATCCATCAAAATCCATGAAGCACCCGTCTTCCCTCTGCGCTTTCATCAACAGAGCAGGAGCTGAGCAAAATTGCCCTGGAGCGATGCAAGACCTCTCGCTGCGCAGTGCCTTGACAGGTCAGCACATCCCTCTTCAAACGCGCTTTCTAGCCAAAAACCCTATGTTTTCCATTTTTTTGTTATTCTCTTTCTTTCTCTGTCTCTGTTTGGCTTCCCCAATTTTGCCGAGACTTTGAGGTCGAGACTATGGGCTACATGGCCGAGACCTATGGCTTCTACAGCCACTGGCATGCAGGTCTCAGAAACACTTCGTCTCTCAGGTACCATCAGACGTGTGCCCGACGTGCACAGTCAGCAGCTTGTCGCCACAACTGCTCAGGCGACGATGTCGGTGATCCTGCCAATCCCGACTATTCTTCTGCGTCCGAGTCGCACCTCGACCTCAGGATGGCATTCTACAGTAATATGCAATATGGTTGAGGGTTTAGGGTTTAGGGTACAAGCTCAATCTTCGCCTGTTGCATTCCGTGCGACCTGAGCACCGATGACTGGATCGCACGAGGCTGGTCCTCGCTGACGCAGAGCCGGGGGATGTTTGGATCTTCAATGTCATGACGGGCCAGGCAAACTCAAGTGCAGCTCGCCAGCAAGAAGTTAGCGGCAGGAAAGAATCTGCCAATCTTGGGCGAAGTTCTTTCACGCCACACAGGCCTGCTGTTCTTGTTGCCTTGATTGTAGCCCCCTGCAGCAAGTCGCATGTAATGTTGGACTCGCTTTAGTACGTAGGGGTCCCCCCCCCCCCCCCCAAACAATTTTGGGGTTTTCGGGGATCCTGAATAGTGTGGGCTGGGGTTGTCGTCGTCGTAGTAGTACCTACAGACATCTGCATCGGCGGAGACGAAAGAAACCAAGCCTTCAGCTTCCTTTTGTTCTCTCTAAGTCAACCAACTCAAACATTTTTTGCCCTGACCGGCAACCCCGGCCGGCAAACATCGCATTATTGAGGCCCACCCTATCAATGGGGGGGTCCCCTATAAGGTTTCCGGAACATCGCATAATAGTGCCCCCTCCCACTAAAGCCAGTCCAACATTATGGCCCCCCCTCCGGACCCCTCAGTGTGCAGATCTTGGTCCAGCAGCAGGCAATCTGGGCTGCCCAACGCATCCCTCCCGATCACGTCGCAGCTGTGGCGAACTCGTTCCTTGGCATGGCTGTACTGAGCCAGTCTGCAAGGGGTTTGACTTAGATGGGAAGAGCAGATCAAGGGGAGGAGCCGAAGATCCCTAAGCCCCCGTTAAGGTCCCTTAAGGTCCCCAAAGGCCCCTGAAGTTCTGTCAAGGCCCCTCTGGCCCCCCTGGTGCCCTTTGAGCTGTCTCACGTGACCTATGCTGTCCCCGCCATCTACTGAATTCCAGGTTCACTATCCGCCGACTGAATCTGTCAGACCCAGCGACTTGGCAAGCTTCTGCAGAAAGCGGTCTACTCCTTCATTCCTGTGTATCAGCACATGGCAAAGCAGGCTGTGCCTTGAGCGTCGCATCTCACACGATCACCCGGCCTCACCCGGCTCTGACTTGAGGAGAACAACCTGTACAGCCATGGCGTTACCGAGCTTGCAGAAGAGAAGCTTCGCCGAACTTGATAGCAAGGTTTTACAGGCATCATGAACTTCACAACTTGCCAACCATCTCGGTGGCAAGGTTGTGGACTCGACCCTTCGAAGAAGGGCTTGGGAACAGGGAAGGTTTC